ATAAACCTGTTTGAAATTTATTTCGACTGATATCCATCTATTAATAATTTAATTTAATTTAATTTGAATTTAACATTTAAAACAGGTGGCAACCGCTTTTAAAACCCACAAAAATAGTCTGGATGCTCAAAGCTCTCAACTCACTTTTGCTTGATACCCATGTTTTAATATTTCACATACCTAAGTAACTACTGCATATTTTAATTACTTTCAATTTTTAGATTAGGTGGCAACCCTTCTTTAAATATTTCCAAACTAAAACCTCCTTAAACTCTCCCGCCCGACGACCATACTGTGATGAATATTTCACCTATATAATTTCCATAATTGAAATTGAATTTATTATTTTAAGCAGGTGGCAACCCCCTTGTATGTAATAAAAAAATACAACCTCTTCAAATCGATTTAGATTGATACCCATATTGTACTAATTAATTTAGTTTTTTAAATATTTGGAATTGAATTATTTAAAGGTGGCAACTTTTTTCGAAAAAGTAAAACCTTATAGCACTTCTACAGCCCGAGCCCTTTCATTTGACTCCCCATTCACGTATTGTATATGTACATATGTACATAAAAATTTATTCATCATTCGCAAGTGCATGAATGAAGAATAAAAATTTATTCGTTATTTGAAATTACTTGAATGATGAATAAAAATTTAATCATTCGCAAGTGCTTGAATGAAGAATAAAAATTTATTCGTCATTCAAAATTGTTAGAATGATGAATAAAAATGTATTTTTTATTTGAATAATAATTCATTCAAAAACGCCCATCCCTGGTGGAAATCCGGCATAGTAAAGTTTAGTATTGAAAAATTTAGTTAAATGTGAAAAATTTATTTCAACAAAAATTGAAAACGAGAAATTAAATGAAACAGAAAAAAGCCAAATCTTTATTTCAAATTATATTAGTTTTTTGTTTATTTTAATTTTTTTTTAATATTATTGATAACTAACAAAAAAAAACTTAAAACATTAAAAAAAAGTTTAAAAGAAGTATTTTAGATAAATTTATCTTTTTTTTTTTAATTTCAAATTGCAACACTTTATGTCTTCGAAAATAAGTTCCTCCGTTTCAAAAAATTATTAAAAAAATCGAAAATGAAAATACATGGATTAACGTGTAATATTTTTGTTTAGAAAATATAACTAAAATTAAACTGTTTTTAAGTTTTCTGTTTTAAAGCTGTGCACAGCCACACAAAAAAGAGGGTCGGGGTTCGGGGATCAGACATAGCAGAAATTAAAAATAATAAATGCAAAAAAGTAATAAAGAGGCATAAAACTTAAGCTCCATTTAGCTGACTTGATTAATAAAAAACTGCACTAAAATTATGCAACATTTCACAATCTTTTTCGCAAAAGCACTGCTTGATTTTCAATAAAATGAGGATAAAGTAAGCAGATACTTTAAAGGACAAGACTTATTTTGTATTAAAATGGTTGGTATAAATATAAACAGCCAGCATTATTCCCATGAGATGACAAAATTTGCCCAAATGACTACTGTCATAAATGCATCGCCTAAAAATATGCAGCAAAAAATATGGCCCCTATTATGAGTTGCATTCGATTTTCGACTGTGGTCGAAAGTGCTGAGCGAACGAATTTTCATTTGGTATTATGGCGCTTATTCGATGAAGAATAGCGCTATTGTGAATTTCGCCCGTTTAGGTTGTTCACAATAGTATATTTTTCACCGCTGAGAAGCTTTGTTTACAAATCGAGCAAACTAAATAGTGTGCTTATACATATTTATGTAAATTTGTTCTAATTAAAATGAAGTAAAAAAGAAAGCAAGTTTATAAAAACGTAGTAAAATGAGTACAACGAGTTCTGGTTCAACGATTCGTCGGAGGATGAGAGCTAAGTAAACTGGCCAGGCGTAGCAAATGTTTAAGAGAGTTTAAGTTTATTAGTCTTTCGAATATATTTTGATATAAAATATATTTAAGAAATTTGTCTACAGATTCATTAAAAAGTTCCGACCATCTAAAGAGGCGTTTGTGAGCCAAATCTATTTAAAATATTTTAAAACTATCAACAGCGCTACGATTTTGTTCTCAGAGATCGTGCCAACAGAGTATTGGGATTTTCTTTCACAAGTAAAACCAGCCTTTCGAGCTTGTGTTTAGTATTCACGATGTTAGAACTGCATGAAATTAATAAAAATTGTTTAAAATTAGTGTCTAGCCGCCAAAATGTAAGAAAACATATACAAAATCATACATTTTTCACAATTTTCTAACACTTCGCTACACCATCGAAAGCAAAATTCTGTTCGACAGAAAATTCGATACTCAACGAAAATTTCGACACGCTTGCATAGCTCATAATACGAATTTCACTTTCGATCTTCGATAGCCAGCGAAGATCGAAAATCGAATGCAGCTCATAATAAGGGCCTATATTTTAAACGCTAAAAATGTGCTGGTCCGTTATTTGATTCGCTCCGACTGCAGGTCTCCTCTGATATCGCTACAGAAAGTGGTACTTTGATTCCACTTCATTTAAGATTCAATGTGTCCGGTCCTCCTATTTACTCGCAGCCATGTTGATCTAGAGATCTTGCAGTCATTTGTAGCGCCTACATTGCATACATCTCTGCGATTGTATACTTGTGTCTCGTTTATAAGCACTTCAAAACCAAATCTGGCCATCTCATAAGCTGTCTCGTTCCCTTCTACATATATTCCTATGTCTAAAGAATGACATTGAGAGGACCAGCGATGTCAACGCACCAAAACAATTTTGACTAGAGGCCCCATTTTTTAATAATTTTTGTAGAAGTATATACATACCATCATCATGGTCGTCGCAACATTCTTCTCTAATCGGAAACCGTATTGGTATTTTTGTATTAAGTTTTTGCGGCATACTTTTAGGTGTTACCTCTGCAAATTTTGCTACCTCGGGGCTACTCATAAAACATTTTATTTGTTTTTATTATTAAAAATATTAAGGAATGCCAAACTGCCAATTCAATAAACTTAGAAAAAAAATTTATAAAAACTTGCAATTTGGGGAAAAAGTCAATTCAATATTTTCGCTGATTTATTAATATAATTTATGTATGTATATGCAAATTTATGTTCACAACTTATTTAATTAGCAGCCATAATGATATTACAAAACAATTAATAAAAAAAAGACAGTTTGATATTAGGCGCTTATAGTTTATGTTTAAAAAATTGCAACAATTTGATATAAAATATCCCTAATATTTAAGTCTGAATGCTTCATAGAACATAGTTTGATAAATCATGGTATAAATTTTAAGCAAAATAAAAAAACCGAAAAAGTTATATAAGAATATACATATATTTAGGTGTTATAACTTTCCAAATCGGTTTCATAGTGATACAATTTAGCGAAGTGAACATTAAATTATTTTTTTTTTCGATTATATCCTGAAAAAAAAAATTTGTTATTTTTTGCCTTTCTACTTTTAGCCCAAATTTCTATTATAAGTTTTATAAAAAAAAAATACTACAAATTGTCCACCAAGTAGCAATCGAAAGCTAGTTTAGCAGCATTTTTTTATCTTTGTTTTTACGCTAAATCGCACAGCCTTAATGTAGTTGGAAAACGCAAAACAAAAATTAAATTTAATATAGCAGTAAAAATATTTACTTGAAAACAAAAATTATTTTCCAAACAATTATCAAAAGTCAACTAGTTAACCGAAGCATAACTCTTGCCTCATCCTTTCAGCAGCTAAACAATCTGATGAATGTGCTTAGCAGCCGTATTCTTACACTAGTTAATGAATAGTGACACCATCTAAAGCCACTTATAAGGAACCTACACCAGTAGGATTCTGTAAATCCTTACCCAAAATTTTCATCTTCAAGATACTCTAAATGAATGAGAGTACCTAAAATTAGGCAACGTGAGCCANATTTTCATCTTCAAGATACTCTAAATGAATGAGAGTACCTAAAATTAGGCTATTATAGTACTTATGCCCAACCATCATTCATTGAGAGAAATTTGCATTGGGATACTGAAAATCGCTATGCCAAATTTTCATCCTCAAAAACCTCTAGCCAGAAAGCAGTGGCGCCTAACAGCATGCAACATCAAATTACTGGTATCTTATACTACCAGAATTCACTGCTTAGCTATTGCATCTCCTACTTCTTCGTATTGCATATTTTCAGGCATCACCGCTTTTCACCTAAAAAATTGTAGAAGTGAAGAATTAGCGTAGCAATTTTCAGAATCCCACAACTGATAAAAATTGCCGCTGCTGGGCAATACAAATCTCTCTGCTGAGCGCTTTTTTAATCAATTACTGCAACAAAAAAGGAGAGACAAGGAAACAAAAAGAGTTAGGTGACATAAATATAAATGCGAGAAGAGACAACTCGTTTTTCATTTTTAATTTAATATTATATAAAAGCTTTTTTTCTTGTTCTATATTGCATATTTTTAGCCACCTTACTGTAAAGTAATGAAACAAGTTTTTAAAAATTATCACTTTTTAGGCGCACCTATGTATCAGCCCATCTCAGCGCATCAACTAGTTTCGTAATCCGGCTGCAGCAAGGTATGCATGTAAGTTTTTCCGCGAAAGAAATGAGACACGGGTTATTATTTTTTCTCAAAATTTTTTCTCTTTTTCTTTAAATGTATATGTTTGTGTATGTATAAGATTTGTGTATATTTTTTTATTATTCTTTTGTTTTTCGCTTTACTTCTTTCATTGTGATATAATTTAAATTATACAATTATAAATTAACACAATTACGTAAATATTATTTAAAATAAAAAATAATCATCATAATCANTTCTTTAAATGTATATGTTTGTGTATGTATAAGATTTGTGTATATTTTTTATTATTCTTTTGTTTTTCGCTTTACTTCTTTCATAGTGATATAATTTAAATTATACAATTATAAATTAACACAATTACGTAAATATTATTTAAAATAAAAAATAATCATCATAATCAATCATAATATTATAAATTAATATTATAATTACAAACATTAATTAATTAATTAATAATAATAGTATTTAGGTAAGAAACTTTTGATTTGACTTAAACAAATGAAAAAAAAAAAAATAAAATAAAATAAAAGATAAAGGAAAAATCTGCAACTGAATAGTTTTAGCAGCGCAACAACGAAANTTAGGTAAGAAACTTTTGATTTGACTTAAACAAATGAAAAAAAAAAAAAAAAAAATAAAAGATAAAGGAAAAATCTGCAACTGAATAGTTTTAGCAGCGCAACAACGAATATCTCTTTGCTTTACTACTGCGCGCATGCGCGTCAAACTACTTATACTGACGTTTCACACATTTTTCTCTTCTTCGTTTTCTTTTCTTGCAGTTTCTTCAGCGTTCAAACATAATCATACATAATAGCTTGTTGCATACTCAGTTTGATTGTTGGTTTACTAGGGTGGGCGTTGGTGTGGTGTGCGTGTGTGCAGGTAGGAAGTTAGTAGAGGAAAATGGTGCTGTTAAATGTCGTAATGAGGCGATGCTTTGGCGTAGAATGGGTTTAGCTGGTGATGAAATAAGTGGTGGTCGTGGAGAAGAAGGGAGCAGCGTGTGGTTGTGGTGGTGGTAGTGCTGGAAATGTTATGAAAAGCGTTTAACACACGATTCGTATCTTAGCGGTCTACACTTTGCTGCACGCATAAGAAGCGGTTGCACCGAGAGGAAGCCATTCTAATTTAAGAGCTAAATGGTGGCTACGACTGAACTAGTTTCTCCCTAAGAAGCTGTCATGTAATGTCGAAACGATCTTTATATATTGATAAATAAGAAGCGGAAATTTAATGCAATTCCGTATGAATCGATGCTAGTGATTCGACAGTCGCCGAGTCGGCGAGTGACCATTTGCATCAAGTCATTCCAACAGCACCGGAACGACACAGATTTATGTCAAGCCAAGGGCTGTCACTCCAGCAGCCAAGAAGTGTACATGGAATGTTTTAATAATAAGTTGCGAACTTTTTAAGCGTGCAATTCATTAATTTCTGCGATTGAGGCTCTCTTACAATTGAATAAATTTTGCCTTTTTCTTCGCCACATTATTATGTGGCAAACGAATCGGACTTCTTTTCAGCCCAAAAAACTGTTGTCTCTTAAACAACAGTTCGCAAATATGCAAAGGCAATGATTCAATATGTAAAAACAACCACAAAATTATGATATTCATCGTAAATGTCTTCATTAAACACCTGGTAGATTACCCCTAAACAACATAAATTCGAATTATAATTATGAAAGCTTCAAGAAGTCGATACATTTTTCGAACAATGAATTATATATTTTTTTTTCAAAAGCAACGCAGCACAGATGCAATTACTTTACGGCCCGATTACCATGTTCTAGCGAGACTCCTCGCATCTACTTGGCCTAATCACGTTTAGCGTTAAAAGTCTATTTGTGTCAGATGGTCAGCTTATTTTTTTTTTTTTAATATTACTAACCTCACCTCACTTTAAAACCGAATTCTCATAACAAAAAATCTTTTTTACCGACTAGCAGGTCTCGTACATTATAAACTTCTAGTAGTTTCAGGAAATAATTACGTTTTTGAGCGATTTAGACTTGAAAATTGGAAATTTCACGATAAATTTCATTTTCTATAGCATCTTCTAGACACACTCTAGACATTTAACGCCTTTCGAAGAGGCGCCATGAGCAGCGCTTAGTAGTAACAATATTTTTTCAGTAGAAAATATGTTCTTTTTGGTTGTTTGTGTTTCCGACAGGGTAGGTTTGTCTCCAAACCAAATTTGACAAGGGATGACGGAAAATCGTTCCACAATACATCACAAAATATGTTTGTCACTTCACAAATCTATTGATGAGCTATACAACCAGCTCTCTAAAAAAACAGCTTTATGCTGTACTTGTCAAACGCTACAGAGATGCCTACAACTATGTTCATTTAGCAGTCTCTTTTTAGAGTTAGGACCTTCAGTGCAAATGAAATTTCGATCGTTACACAATACATACGACATCTTCAAAAAGTCTTTTAACAGATTCGAATTCTTTTCCCTTGCTTTTCAAACATTTAGGCAGCTTTTCAAGCTTTTGCACTCTCAGTTTGGACACCTACGCACTTTCTAAAGTATTCACCGCGTCAAATATGTATACGTAAACCTTTCTCTCGCCTTACAACCGCTTTTCATTTTCGCTTAAGCGAACCGCATCGGCTCAACTAGGCACATACTTCCTACCTAAATACATATATGTAGATAGTAGATGAGTGTCGTGTGCGCGCATGAGTGTGTGTGTATGCATGTGTGTCTGGTCTTATTACAAACGCTTTTTATAATTCTTAGTACTTTTGTGTGTTTCACTTTTGATTTTTTACAATTTTTGCAATTTAGTTAATATAATTTAAATGACAATTGAGTGGGCGTGTAAATGTAAATTACATTTTTTTGTATGGATTTTACATCCATTTTTTCACAATGCTTTTGCTGTTTTTTTTTTTTTTGTTTTTTTTCTGCGGATTTTTAAATGTTTTTTTTATACGTTTGTTTTCTATTGTTTTTTGTTTATTCATTTATTTCAATTTAATAAATGGTAAAAATGTATTGTAGTATGTGTATGTATGTATGCGGTATGCAGTATGTATGTATGCATGTATGTATTTATAAATTACAACGGAAGTGTCGGTGTGTTTGTAGTTGGTGTTGGCGTCAACATCGACGCGGATGGAGGATACCGCAACGTATGCTGTGACGTTGCCTGCTGTATATAATCCTGACTAGGATTATTCAATACGCTATCCCGTGAATTTGAATGTGAAGTGGCGCGCAGCAGTGTTACCGCTTCGCGTTCTGGACTACATTGGACACCGTCTAGTCATTTTTGACGTGATGATTTCTTCTTCTTTCGTTTAAAGAAACAACAACATCTGCAAAGACAACACAGGAATGAACTGAAATCAAAATAGATTATATAGTAATAACAACCAAGGTAAATAAAAGTAGTAGATATATACATACATACATATGTAGTAAGAATACGTAGTAATATGTAAAATACAAAATCAAAAATTCAAAAACAAATTCAACTTACTTTGTTTCATCGACAAGCTCCACTTCGGGCTGTTGCGTTATAGGAGTATTTGAGTGACCAGCTGTGGGATCGTCCGCATTCAGTTCGCCATTTGTGGAACTCACAACCTGTTCGTGGAGGAAGAAATGAGAAAATATAGAAGTTTGTTAATGTTTATATGTTTTAGCAATAGTTAATGTGTATGTAAATTTTGTAGAGTACATCAGAGCCAGTGTATAAATTAATTAAGAAAAAACTGTTTTTCTTATTCATTTACTTATTGAATTTATTTTAAAAATTTGTGTGTTTGGCTTTATTTAACCGCCGTACAAATACAATACAATGGAACGCACAAAAGTACAAATACAAGAAAGTAATTTTTATTGGATATGCCAGACGATAACAAAGGTTCATATCAAAACATATAACGAGGCTAGACAAAAATATACGTATCTTTTAGTACGACACTTTTTTAATACATACATATAAATGTGTGTGGAAAAAAGACGGCCCCATTGAAACGCACAAAAATAAGGTGTTTCGTAGTAAAAAGAAATCTGCTGGAAATAACTAAAATACTTTGCAAATTGAAGACTCTTTTTGATTATGTGAAGAAAACCTTACTACTTAAGTGCCTAATTTAGGTGTTTCGTAAATTTTTAACAACGTACGTATGTGGTGAATACACTGACAAAACTGGTTAACGGTTAAAGACTAAGTGAATTCACAGTGAAAAAAATAACAACGGTGTATTTGAGACAAAAGGGATTAATCAATCAGTAAGTGAATTTGTAGAAAGCGTAAGAAAAAAAAGTAACGAGAAGCGGTAAGTTTGCCTTTTTGAAGTGTGGTCGTAACGATAATGGTGGTTTTCTAAATTGCACAAAGTAATATTATAAAAAAAATTGATGATTGCAATTGAACTCTGAATGGTGGATTCACATAGAAATAACGTACAAATGTGTCGAATTTAACTAAATTAACTTAGCACTACTCAAAAATGAAACAATATTTTTCGTGTTCACCATACATTCGTATGTACATAAATACATCTTCCGATTTATAATATATTCCTATTCTTATCCGTATTCATATCTATATTTATAAACATAAACACGGCCTCGCGGCCTGGAGTTGTAATATAAATAAAATTATAATCTCAGATCGGAGATAGAGCATCTAGATTGAGAATGATCTCATGAAAATTCCAATGTTGGTAGGCGCATTGCATAGATAAACCAACCAAAATATTACAAAATCAAAAGCAGCGGATGCAAATTGAAGTCTTTTGAAGAAAAATGGTATTTTACCATCGAAAATTAAGAGAATTCGGTAAATATCTATAAATGTTATCGAAATTATCTATAAATGTTATCGATAAATATCTATAAATGTTTTCGATAAATATCTATAAATGTTATCGATAAATATCTATAAATGTTATCGATAAATATCTATAAATGTTATCGATAAATATCTATAAATGTTATCGATAAATATCTATAAATGTTATCGATAAATATCTATAAATGTTATCGATAAATATCTATAAATGTTATCGATAAATATCTATAAATGTTATCGATAAATATCTATAAATGTTATCGATAAATATCTATAAATGTTATCGATAAATATCTATAAATGTTATCGATAAATATCTATAAATGTTATCGATAAATATCTATAAATGTTATCGATAAATATCTATAAATGTTATCGATAAATATCTATAAATGTTATCGATAAATATCTATAAATGTTATCGATAAATATCTATAAATGTTATCGATAAATATCTATAAATGTTATCGATAAATATCTATAAATGTTATCGATAAATATCTATAAATGTTATCGATAAATATCTATAAATGTTATCGATAAATATCTATAAATGTTATCGATAAATATCTATAAATGTTATCGATAAATATCTATAAATGTTATCGATAAATATCTATAAATGTTATCGATAAATATCTATAAATGTTATCGATAAATATCTATAAATGTTTTCGATAAATATCTATAAATGTTTTCGATAAATATCTATAAATGTTTTCGATAAATATCTATAAATGTTATCGATGAATATCTATAAATGTTATCGATAAATATCTATAAATGTTATCGATAAATATTTATTTTGAAGGTAGCGTAAGTCATTTCATGCCGATAAATACGTACATATACGTTTTTGATAAATACCGATCAGTATTTTCGATTAATATTTATAAAAATGTCGATAAACTCTTCTATGAATGTCAAACCAAATATACAGATTAGTGTCGCTCAATATTACGATAAACTTCAATAAATATACCGATACTTTTTTGATATTTTTTTCGATTTCATCGAAATGAATAGCAAAATTAATATCGAAACTATGGAAAACACGAAATCGACAAACAAATCTAAAACCACGTTGAAAAATAACAACGATTTATGTAGAAAAAAAAACTTAAAAACATAAAATTTGGGTTTTTAGTTTTGAAAGTTTTTACTTATTGTAATGAAAAAATCGGAACTTTAGAGCATTCGATCTTATAATTTAAAGTACATAATTTTACATGGTAATTTGGAAAATCTACATTCCACAATCAAAATTATTTGTTTAAATTATGTCAATCGAAATATTTCCTTGGCAAATGTTTAATGATTTTTTGTTTAGCTGCTAGGGTGAAATCTGGTGGGTAAGTACAAGAACGGGGTACTTGAGGTCAATGAACTTTGGACCAAAAAAGTGTCTCCTCGGAGAACATCGATACTTTAAGAACTACTAGTTTAAGATACTTTAAGTAAATGCCGAAGAGATGACGAAAAATGTAAAAGGGCGACACTTACATTCGGCCAATTTTTTTCGAAATGGCCCTGCCAAAATACTTTGTCAGGGGTGTACGGCGAACTTTTTTTCTGGTACAGTCTAATGTCGATACATACAGACTTTAACCGATTGTAAGACATCAGACTTTACAGGCCATTATATTAACCTCCAAATATTAGCAAGCGTAGCGTTTCGGTAGGAGTTTTTGACTTATTCAAATTTCGTGACTTAATATAACCGGAACATCAACCTCATTAACCATCAAAAAAGGCGAAGATCATATAATTTCAATCCACAACAAATATAATTTGTGTAGTGTTGCATGATATTGCTATACAAGCTAAATAATTACAACAAGCAGAGCAACGTTAAAAAGAACTTAAACTTTCAAATTAAAAAAAAATCCAAGGAAAAAATTGGATTCGAGAGTTTTACTTACACCTCTCAAGCCTGGGAGAAAAAAGTACTACTTGCAGCTCTGATTATTGCGTGAAGAACCAGAAAGCGAAAAAATGAAGTGATGTGATAAGCAAAACAACAACAAATCACAACATTTGCCGACATAAAAAACCACTAAAGACGAGGACCTAGACCCAGCCGATTGGATTACACATTAAACATAGTTAGGACACTTAACACAGCCAGACAGACAGACAGACAACATACAAGCATGCTATGTTTCTACACAATTGCTATACCTGTAGCTTTCTGTGATGTAACCAATAGTAACTGAATTTTGGCTAAATCAAATTAAATTGTTAAAAAAAAAGTTAGAAAAAATTTATTGTGTATTGAATTAATTAGAGCTGCTAAGGGGGGAAAGAGAAAAATAAAAGAGGTTCAAAGCTGGTAAATTGTTTAGAAATTTGTGTATTTCTATGTTTCTTTTTGTATTTGGTTTGTATTCATAGTTTAATTCTTCACTTCCGTCGCCTTGGGAGTTTGCTCATCGTTGGCCACTGGCGCATGTATAGACACTTCACAGTCACTCTTTTCATAATACGCATCGAAGGGACTATCATCATCGGAGCCTGAGTCTTCGGGATTACGCTGCAGGTTTTCATTTTGTTGTATTTGAAACAAACAAAAAGAAAAAAAAAAACATAGTAAAGACCAACAAAATTTTTCTACAATTAAAGCTCTTTCTTTTGAAGCGAGAAACTCTGCCCCCGATGACTGATGAGAGAAATGAGCGAGTGATTACTTGCTTTTCTTATTGCTCATGCTTTCTGCCACTACTACTTATTGAAAGGTTAATTGCGGCTAAATATGTATGTAATTTTATGCTTCTAGTATGCTTTTCTCATGCACAAAATATGTACCAACCATTTTTGTTTTTGTAGTTTTAAGAATGAAATCTATAGAAAATGTGAAACCTTTTTGCAAACTTAGTCGCTTAAAAATCATGCAATGGAAAACCACTTTACCTTATATGCTTTTACATTAAATTTATGCATACGTGCCGCATGAAAAAAAAAAATTTTTTTCCACAAATAAAAAAGAAGAAAACACACTACTCCGAATACCGAACTGAAATAAACTCAGGCGATTTCAAATAAATGATGTGAAAATTGGAAATTATACTTAATATATACTTTATGTATGTGTAATATTTGTTTTTTGTAATTTCTATCTGCTTAAAAAAATGTATTTGTTAACCTATTCTTTCGACAGGCGGCGTATACTAGGTGACTAAATTTCACATGGCATACTATTTAGGTGGGGTTTGACATACCCCATTACAAAAATTAAATAAAATCATCGAATTAATATTTTAGGGCAGTTATTAATAAGAAATTTCTCTTATATCTAATGAATGAGCTTCAGTAAAAGACGTATGTATTTATTTATACATTTTATTTAAAAAAAAAAAAAACCCAAGACACAACTTTTTCTTCAGCTTATGAACTAATAATGTCATTTCTAGAGTAAACAATTTAAATAGCACATACCCAAGCGCACTTTACGCGATTCGTGGCGAAAGCCCAGTGTTGCCATTTTGATGCTTTTGGGTGCTACATTTAGCTCTTTTTGTTTTAAATTGCCCCAGTAGTTTGCTTTTAGCCACTAGCTCTTTTTTTAGCCCCTTTAAACACATGAAACAGCCCTTTGAGGCTCCAAAATTATTAACTTAATTTTAAACATTAAATTTAAACATTTCTGCTGTTTGTTTGGAAAACAAATTTTCAACTGAAAGAGTGATTGTAACAAAAATTGAATTAAATTTGTCAAAAGTTTAACATTTTCTGCCCAATTGGGGCGCTCTCACGCTTCACATTTTCGTTATAAAATTGTATTTCG